AAAAGTGATTAACCAACTAATAGAATGAGAAGAGGTTTTGAGTATTATCCATAAAACTGACTTTAATGCTTTGTCTTCAGCAATAACTCTTTCCCACAAAGTATTTATGCATAACTCTACTTAAACATTATGAATATTTTAGTTTGGATGCAAGAAAATTGCCATCTCTTTGCTTGGTATTAAAGTTCTATAGGGAATATGTTGTTATATGAAACTTAAATTTTATTCTGTTAAAGAAATAGATCTAAATCAGAAAGACTAAGGTTAAGAAAATCAAGGAATAGAGTTATCAGTTAAAGAAATAAACCTAAGTCAGAAAGACTGAAGTTAATAGTCATCTGACAAAGGTTAATAAAGTCAGCTGTCAGCACTGTGTAGACTTGTATAATCTGGGTAACTCCCTGGTAGGTGGCTCCAATGATGGTGAACATAGGCAGCCCCTAGAGTACAGCATACTTTACCCTCCCTTAAGCAAATTCACCACCCCTTCTTCCCCCATCCTTTGTACCTGGCGTGTGCTCCAGCAGAGCTTTTGAAAGCATGTTATGAGCAGGCAGGAGCGGTTAATACTAGTTCCCCTAACCTTAACGTGAGAGGGCTGAATTAGAATGATCTTTAAAACTGTCCGCGAGCCTATGTTATCCACGCCGGAAAACATCATTTCAAAAAGGCTTCAGACTAGAAAAAGAAGAGTAAATGAAACCCAAAGTAGATAGAAGAAATAATAATAAAGAACTGGAATCGATGAAATTGAAAACAGACAAACAATAGAGAAAGTAAAGGAAGCTAAGAGGATTTTTGGAAAACATAAATAGAATTGATAAGTTTGTAGCTAGACTAATCAAGAAAAAAAAGATAAAACACAAATTGCTAATATCAGGAATGAAAGAAGGGGCATCATTAAAGATTCTACAGACGGCTTGGTTTTCCTAAGTCAAGGCTGTGGATCGATACTGCACCTAGCTGGGTTTTAATACGCTACAATCAGATTGACCAGTCAAACAGAATGGACAAATTGTATTTAACAAAAACCAGTGAAAGGAAGGCAATGAAATTTTCCCTTTCCTTGGGAAGGCACTGGTTTATGTCACGACTGTATTCTGGTGAATGTTGTAAGTTTTCATTATGAAGACATTGGATTTATTTGAAATCCATTTAAAAAAAATCAATGTGTCTGTTCCACCTGAGGGTTATTTTATGCTGAAAACAAATAGCTTTGTTTTTCTAATATTGAAATAAGTGCTTCCACTGGCAAAATAAATGACTTATTTCAATTGAAGAAAATGGAAAAAAAAAGATTCTACAGACATTAAAAGAATGAATGTTATGAACAACTTCATTCAACAACCTCGATGAAATGGACAAAATAGTTGAGAAATACAAATTACCAAAACTGACTCAATAAATAACAGAAAACATGAATAAAGCTATATCAATTTAAACTAAACTCATAATTTAAAAACTTTTCACAAAACTCCAGACCCAGATAGCTTCATTGGTAAATTCCCTCACACATTCAAGGAAGAAATAATACCAATTCTACATAAGCTCTTTCAGAAAACAGAGGAAGAGGGAACACTTTCCAACTCTTTACCCTTATACCAAAACCAAAGACTTTACAAGAAAATAAAACAAAACTACATACCAATATCCCTCGTGAACATAGAAACAAAAATCCTTTAAACGTATTAACAAATTAGGCCAGGTGCGGTGGTTCACACCTGTAATCCTAGCACTTTGGGAGGCCGGAGGAAAAACTTGCGGCCAGAAGTTCAAGAACAGTCTGATCAAAAGCGAGACCCCATCTCTACAAAAAATAGAAAAATTAGCCAGGCGTGGTTGTGAGCGTCTGTAGGCCCAGCCTCTCGGGAGGTTGAGGCAGGAGGATCGCTTGAGGCCAAGAAATGGAGGCTGCAGTGAGCTATGATGACGCCGCTGCACTCCAGCCTGGGTGACAGAGCAAGTCCCTGTCTCAAAAAACAAAACAAAACAAAACAATTAACAAATCCAGTAATACCTAAAAAGAATAATACATGATGGCCAAGGAAAGTTAGATTGGCATAATAGCCCAAAAATCAATGTAATTCACAGAACAAAAGAGAAAAGATATATGATCATTTCAATATATACAAACAAAAGCATTTAATAAAATTCAACATCATTCATGATAAAAAAAAATTCTCAAAAAGATTTCAGGTGATGTGAACAAATATTCTGTTTACTTAATTCAGAAAAGTTGTCACAGATTTCGTTAGTACCTATTTTGTTGTTAAAGAGTGAAGCAATTTGTACTTTCCAGAATTAATGATTTTTATATATAATTGCTAGCATGTATCCCTGAATTTTCCCCCTGAAGTTCTAATTTTCTTATATTATTTATTCCTACTCATGTTAAACTAGACATCCTTCAGCAAAAACAGATTTAATTCAATATAAGCTCAGAGAAATGAAATGAATGTCCATTCTAAATGGGACCTGTATAAAATATTGAGTATTAAGCCAATAATGAGCTGTCAATTATATAAATATAAAATGTCTGCTTAATCTGCTACTAGGCTACAATCATTCATTAAATGAATAAATATTTATTAAACACTGTTGTGTGCTAGATGCTAAGAGTACGAAGCTCCTAACCCTGTTTTCAGAGCCTAGTTGAGTGGCCCAGGACTTAGATAGCCACAGCACTAGGTGTTATCCTGTCATAGAATTGTATACAAAGAGCAGTTGAAATAAGGATGAGAAGCTGACTGATAATGCTTGGAGGGACTGGGGAGTCTCTTGATTTCACAAACAACAGAAGCAAACCATTTTACCAAGCAAAGCTTTCCTAATCTCTTAATGAACAAAAATTAAGCCCATAATGGCTTCTCCACATACCAATACCCATTTCCTTAGGCTACAACCACACTAGAACCTTATGAGTTTCACACACAAAAGACAGACTTTGGATTTTGGAAATTAAAGCAGAAGTATTCTTAGGAGTGGCTGAGGTTTTGATCATTGATAAAAGTTATAGTCTAACTCTGTACAACTCGAAATTGTCTCTATGTGTTAGAGGTCAATAGGGCTGGAGTATGTCTTTTGGGAACGTGTACTATTCGTCAGGAAATTAACTGCAATTGTGACAAACCAGACAATGATGTGATAGAACGGGTGGCAGTATAGGATAGGGAGGTTAGGTGTGTGGGCTTGAAGCAAGACAATCCCGGGTTCAAATTCTGGCCCTGTAAAATTAACTAGTTTCTCTGATCTTCAGTTTCCTCTTCTGTAAAATGGAGTAGAAATGATTACCTTATAGTCATTGTGAAGCCTAAATAAGAGAATGCAGGCTGGGTGCGATGGCTCATGCCTATAATCAGCACTTTGGGAGGCTGAGGCAGGAGGATTGCTTGAGCCAAGGAGTTTGAGACCAGCCTCGGCAACATAGCGAGA